ACTTTATTTCTTTTCAAGGCCCCCTGCGATCCATTTCGTATCGAAGATCTCGAAAAATGGAAAATGGTTCACGCCAACTACGCTCAACAGATCGAAGAAATCGATGAACAAACGAAAGCTTTCACCTCCGATTCATTCAAAAACCTACGGTACTTTCATCTGCGTAACTCATTGTCATCTATCTTTCTCTCGTTTCAGCTCGGCAGAAAGCGCTTTCGATATGTTGTTGAAATTCGAGAAGAACAATACTCGATTAACAATGCAAGACGAAATGAACAAACGTTTCAGCGATATTCTCCGACAATACGATAATGAAGTAAACATTCAACTTTAAAATGAACACTTTCTAAACACCTTTTCCCGCAATGTAGATCACAGAGATCAATAATATCTTCCAACACAACAAAAATAATCCTCCAATGAATAAAAATCAACCTCCGTACTCTGGTGCTATTGCGTGGAGTCGATCATTATTTCGACGTATCAAACACACAATGTTACGTTTACATACGAAAGAAACGTTAATGCAAACAGAATTTGGCAAACAAGTAAATAGCAAAAAAAGGCGTTTCCTATCTGATCGATTGGTTTGTTTTCGATGAACTATAGATAAAAAGTTATTATCTTCGAGTAGCAAAAGAAATGAAAGCATTCGAAGATGCAAAGTTCACTGAATGGAGAGCACGCACCGAACAGATTCTTCCAACATTACAAAAACGAAATATCCTCAAAGAACTGCCACTTGCAGAAAGTATGTTCATCTTCCAAGAGTGAAATTGATTTGTTATCATAACCAAGCTTTTTCTCAGATCAAAATCCATATACACCTCGATACATAATCGATTACGATCCACAATTGAATGAAATGACAACAGAAGCAAGATACTTAGAACAATTTGATTATATTTTACCAGAAACTATCCGACATTTGGCGTTGAATGTAAGTGCAAACGAAAGGAACTATTCTTGGTGCTTTTCAACCTGTCGAATGCTCTCAGCTCCGGTAGAACGTTTTCTCTAGTCACGATTGATGTTTTTCTTCGGAAATCCATTATGATAGTTAAGTTTTTTTTCCTTGAGAACGAGTCCCAGTCACAATGACCTGAGATGTTCTATTAAAATCGATTCTATTCATAGGAAGAGCGATTAAAACAAATTTCGACTCAATTGAAAATCGTTCTTAAACATTATAATCGTGTCATCGACTCACTTGAACCACATGAACAATCGCTCCTCGAAGATCATCTACGATTATTGAAACGGAATATGCAAACAGGAACTCAACGATTGCCATGGACATCGACTAATCACGAAAAATTCATCACTGTGACATCCGAGGTAAGTGATTTGATCCAAAGGCACACCTCCGAATTCTCGTTATTCAAAGATGATCTCAAAACTCGACTCAACAATCAATCAAGTGAAGAAGAACGCTCAAGACGTTCAAATTTTTCTCGATGAAATTCGTCATTGCAATCTTTTCCGAGAGCCTCCACTCAATCCCGATGGTTCACTGATCCAGTGTCGAGTAAGTCGAATCTGTTCGACATTGAAACGAAATTTTCTTTTGAAAAAAAACTTTAGGAATATTTCGAATTTGTCGAATTTCATCGCCGACGGGATGCACTTGAATTACAGAAAAAGTACAAACTGATTGGCCCATTAATTACAAAAGTCGAAGGACTCGTATTCAATACGAACACATCTCAATCGCCAAAAATGGTTGCTTATTATGCCTATTGGGAAAGACAAATACTTGCCGCATTAACTGAAGTAAATGATTGTTTTCTTTTGTCAGAAAAAGGTCTCTCATTAACGCATGTTTTCTCTTCATTAGCTCGTAACTCAGAATCTGAAAACGTTACGTGAAACTTTGGAGCACGGAACGAAACCTTTGTTCCAAGTTGATGCTTTGCTTGTTGTCCCAACTGTAGCTATGCAACCAAATCAAAATGAGATCATCAAATTGTTTCGGCAGACAATGCGCGATTGTGTTGAAGTGTAAGTCAAAAGTTTATTTCTTCATGAGTGAGGAAACACGACTAGTGAATAATCAGATTTAAAAGCATGTTATACGCTACACTTCAACAGACATACATCGATTGATGTTGTTTATTTTATTTTTTCTCTCTATTCCTTCTTCTTCTGCTTCTACTACTACCACCACTTATAATTATTCTCGTCTTTTCTTTCTTTCTCTTTGTCGTTTTATTTGTCGACTTGTTTTTGACGTTACACAAAATCCCTAAGCAACGCCTCCTCTTAGAAAAATATGAACAAACGCTTTCATCACATCTATATGTGAGTTTGTTGCTTCGTTGCGTTCGCATTTTAACGATACCGATTAAGAGCAGAAGGAGCTATAAGAATCGAGAAGAATGGTAAAGTTTTGAAGTCATAGTGAAGAAAAATAAAAAACTTTTCTTCTCTCGTTCGTCCATGACAAAAAACAACCATTAATTGTCATTTACGTCGAATGAATTTCGCTTCTCTATTACGAAACAAATGAGTCTCAATTCACAACAATATCTTTCATGTCTTCATTCTGGTCAAGTCGTTGACATTCAACGATCCAATGGACGTATACATCAAGCTGTCATAACCAAGGTAAATCATTCGATACGAACCATTACTGTCGAATGGCAAGAAAAGAATGAAGGTAAAGGCAAAGAAGTCGACCTGGATGCCATTGTGAAACTTAATCCCAACCTCTTTCAATCAATCGCACATTCGCCTTCACGTACTGGTGCTATCAGTCGAAATCTCGATACTGACCATAATGATTACCACTCCACTGAAAATAATCCTGCACAATCAAATCGCCATACGAAAAGAGATGCTGAAAAACTAACGCGACAGTCTCGACTGGACAAAAGCTCAAATATAAATGATCAATCACCACAAAGGCAACAGAATGCTGTTGCTGATCCGAATAGATCAAAAGTTGTCAAAGAAATCGAACGTATCGCTGCAAATCGTGAACAACGCCGAGCGAAACAAGAAGTACGCCGACAGAAACTATCCGAAGTCGACCATACGATTCCAGCATGGGAGTTTCAAGCAATGATCAACGAATATCGGCAGCAGCTCGGCATGAAACACCTGACACTGCATGACCAACAGAAAGATCTAAGAATTACCGTTTGTGTACGGAAAAGGCCAATCACAAAAAAGGAATTAAACAAAAAAGACATTGATGTGTTAACAGTTCCAAATAAAGATCATGTTGTTGTGCATTTACCGAAAGTGAAACTTGATCTAACCAAATACATCGATAACAACACATTTCGTTTTGATTATGCCATGAATGAATCGTGTACTAATGAACTTGTTTATTATTTCACGGCGCAACCATTGGTACGTTCATTATTTCAAGGATGTAATCCATTAGTATTCGCGTACGGACAGACGGGATCTGGTAGGTCGAAGTTTGTGAAACAGAACAGTCGTCGATGATTGAACTGTTTGCTTATCTTTCAGGTAAAACATATACCATGGGTGGTGATTTAAGTCAACGCGATGTAGACTTTTCCAAAGGAATCTATGCGCTCACAGCCAACGATATCTTTCGTCAGTTGCATAAGTCTCAAAATCGAGATCAATTCGATATTTATTGTACATTTTTTGAAATTTATTGTACTAAAGTCTTCGATTTATTTAATGAGAAGAAACGCTTACGTGTACTAGAAGATCACAAGAATTTAGTTCAAGTCGTGGGCAAAAAAGAAGAACGAGTAGAAAGTGTTACTGATGTGATGTCGTTGATACGCCGTGGAATGAGTGTGCGAACATCTGGTACAACGTCAGCCAATGAACATTCGTCTCGTTCGCATGCTGTTTTTCAAATCATCTTGAAAAAACAACATACCAACAAAGAATACAGCAAAATTTCGTTAATCGATCTAGCTGGCAGTGAACGTGGCCGAGATACACAAACCAATGATAAAACAACACTGATGGAAGGTGCTCAAATCAATAAATCGCTGTTAACACTAAAAGAATGTATACGCGCGCTAGGGCGTAACGCTGAACATATTCCATTTCGTGGTTCGACTCTCACAAAAGTTCTTCGTGATTCATTTATTGGTGAAAAATGTAAAATCTGTATGATTGCCATGGTCTCGCCTGGCAGTAGCGATGTTGACCATACGCTAAATACATTGCGGTATGCTGATCGTGTCAAAGAATTGAACGTTGACGAATTGAAACAACGTGGTATCGAACTTCATCAAAAATCCAATCCAGTTCTACATGATGATTCTCCGTCACCGGATGAAGATGACTATTACGATGATGATGACCTATTGAACGAGTCAAGCACACAAGTAATTCCGCCATCGCGTACAACCATATCGAAACCTCAACTAAATTATTCGAGTAGATCACAACTAACCAAAACAAATCAATCGAAATACAAATTCGAACAAGCCATAGCTCGCTCGCACGAACTAGAAGACTTAACATTAGAGTCGCATCATGGATTTCTCGATGAATTACCACAATTACTCGCTGGCCATCAAACTGTCTTCGATTCTTCGACACATATGAACTACGATCGGGAAAGATATACCAAACAATTAATCCATCTAATCGATAATCAACAACAACATTTGACTAGTTTACGTCAGAGAGCATTGCAAATGCGCGAAGCTGTTGCTCATGAAACTGTTTGTGCGAAAGAATTAACATCGAAATAACTTTGTTTTTCTCTTCTTCGTGCGCGATTGTTTTGCGTGAAAAATTTTCGTCGTTGATATAACGTTTTAGTCTGATAAGATTTCTAGTGTACAGAAAAATCATGTATTCTTAATTCAGCTTTCGAACAGAGAAATTAACATTTGCTATTGTTATTTCGAGAATTTTTAAGTTAACATTAAAACAAAAAGTTCTACTGTTGTCTTTGATCTTTCTCTAATTATAGTACCAGCTATTTCTATCGATGGAAGGACGGATCATGTGTCGAGGTCACACCAATCAAATACGAAAAATCACAAAGCGCTATGACGACGGCAGGTGGACAAGGAGGAAACGATTTCGAGACATCGTCAGCGATTATTCCGACGAATGCAAAACATTCAGCAACGACAACGTCATCATCCACTCAGGAAGCTGAACATATCTATACATTCTATGATGACATTAAGTTCATCCCTGATATACACGAAATTGCCGCATCAGCACAAAATGTTGTACAAAATACTATTACTAACATGAAGAAATTTCTATTGAAATTTCGTGATTTCAAACATCTATGGCGATCAGATAAAGTAAACATTAAATTTGAGTTGGAAATTATTCAGTACACGTTTCGCTGTTCTAGTTGGCGTTTGTCGAGAAATTCTTTGCAAAACATCCATCGTTAGGTGCTTTCGACGAAGAAGTAACAAAATATCAAAAGAATTTGGATGACGTGAGTTTTCTATTGATTATTAGTACGAAGATTTCGAAATTATTCATCTGTTTTAGTTGACAGCAATGAACCGTTTGAAAGATTTCGATTTCATGCAATTGAATTTGCATTCGTTCTTAAATGATTTAACTACTCATGCCCGAGAGACGATCAATATGTTTAATCGGTTTCTTGCTGATGAAGCTCGAGCGAGATTATTTGAACTACGTGATAAACTTGATGTAAAATTCTTTCGAAATATTTATTTTCATGCGCTTCGATGATGTTTTCTTTTTCTCTCATAGGAATACGAAAAGAATCTCAAGTTATCGACAGATACGTTAGAAGATTTGAAATTTGTCTTACGAACTATTGCAGAAATCCAAAGTCAATCCGATTTGATCGAAGCAAAAACCAATGATGTCAAAGACAAATATAATTTACTTGAATCTTATCATTACAAAGTAAGCGAGACGAATGATTTTCTGTTCGATTTCAATACTGACGTTTGAAGGTCACGGATGAAGAAAGAGCGATTCTTCTGTCGCTGAAACGACGATGGGATGAAATCTTTCTCAATTCGAAACATCGTGATGTTAATCTCAAACGTGTTAAAAGTCGTTTCACCGAAATTACTCTTATTCAACTTGATCGTCTACGCAAATCAATCATTGCTTTTGCAGAGAAATTCGCTAAGTTTGGTCCTGGTTCAATTAAAATTGCCGATGAGTTATCACAAGGTTTAAAATTAATGAAAATCTATCGTGATGAACTAACGAAGATCGAAGCCGAAAAACAAGAATTAACCAATGCTGAGAAACTCTTCAATCTACCGATCTCATCCTATCCGGAATTGTATGTTGTTCAAAAAGAAATGAAAAATTTAGAAAAACTCTACCAATTGTACGAATCACAAATCAAGGCTCGACAAGTATGGTCGGAAACATTATGGCGTGATTTAGACGTGCAATTACTGGTAGACGGTATTGAAAATTTCATCAAAGAACTGAAGAAAATGCCACGCGAAGTGAAAGGGATGCCATTAGCGAAATTAATCGAAACCGGAATGAAAGAATTCCGCGAATCATTACCATTGATGTTAGACTTGAAAAATGAAGCTCTACGTGAACGCCATTGGCGCACACTGATGAAAGAAACAAGTATCGAATTCGATATGAACCCAGAATCGTTTACATTAGAAAACCTCTTCCAAATGAACTTACAACGTTTCAACGATGTCATTCAGAATATCGTTACGTCCGCCACGAAAGAACTTCAAATTGAGAAGGTAGAAATGCAAAAATGTTCGATAGGAAAGACAACGGCATGCTTATATTCATATATAGGGCGTACGGGAAGTTGTCGACGCATGGGAGAAAGTGAAATTCAATGTCGTTAAGTATGTGAAAGGGAACCAAGATCGTGGTTATGTATTGGGAGCTTGTGACGAAGTTCTTCAACAATTAGATGATCATACTATGGCTTTGCAAGGTATGGCTGGTTCAAGATACATCGGACCATTCTTAAAAACTGTACAAGAGTGGGAGAAGAGTTTATCACATATTGCTGAAGTAAGATCAATGTGATTTTGAACGAGTTTTTCACGTTCGTGTCTAGGTTATCGAATTATGGATCAACGTACAGCGTAAATGGACATATCTCGAAGGTAATTTCGAACATAAGATGCGTTTCCTCTGTGGAAGCTTCGCTGTTTTAGGTATTTTCGTTAGTGGAGATATTCGTTCACAATTGCCCGAAGAAGCGAAGAAATTCGATGAAAAAAATAAACTATTCAAATCAATCATGGCTGACACATATCGTGATCCGTTAATTAAAAAACAATGCCATGTACCCAGTCGTTTACCTGATCTAGAATCAATCTTTGTCGGTCTTGAACGTTGTCAAAAGAGTTTAAACGATTATCTCGATTCGAAACGAAACGCTTTTCCACGATTTTTCTTCATTTCCGACGATGAACTTCTCTCCATTTTGGGTTCAGCTGAACCATCAGCTATTCAAGAACATATGATTAAAATGTTCGACAACATCGCCAGTCTTCGGCTGATTAAAGTCAGTGATACAATCACCCAAGCCCAAGCGATGATCTCCGCAGAGAAAGAAGAAATGCAGTTTAAACAGAGCGTTGTCACCGAAGGACGAGTCGAAGATTGGATGACGAAAGTTTTAGAAGAAATGAGACGAACAAATCGATTGATTACGAAAGAAGCCGTCTATTATTATCGTTTTCGAAAAACACGAGCAAGCTGGATGTATAACTATCAAGGAATGGTCGTACTCGCTGCTAATCAAATCTGGTATGTTAAAAATCTGAAATCAATCCAAAGTTATTCATGTTTTTCTTCATTCGTATTAGGTGGAGTTGGGAAGTTGAAGACACATTCAACAAAGGTAGGTTCAGTTCAGTTGATTTATATTGATTGGTCTCATATTTTATTGAATGTACTTAGTCGCCAAAGGACAAAAGATGGCAATGAAGAATTATGCTAAACAATTGAACACACAGATTGAAGAAGTCGTTGCTGAAGTACGAAAGACGCATGTTTTTTGTCATATTCATTTTTACTCAATAATTATTTTCAATTTAGATTCGAAATCCGTTAGCTAGTAATGATCGGAAGAAATTTAACACTGTCCTCATTATCGATGTTCACGCGAAAGATATTATCGATGCTTTCGTTCGAGACAGGTAAGGAAAATGAATGTTCAGAAAAGAAAGAAGATCTTATATTTAGTATTTTGGATGCACGTGAATTTGAATGGGAAAGTCAGTTGAGATTTTATTGGGTTAACGAACCTGATGAATTAATGATTCGACAATGTACTGGAGAATTTGGTTACGGTTATGAATATATGGGTTTAAATGGTCGTCTAGTCATTACACCACTTACTGATCGAATTTATTTGACAATCACACAAGTATGATGATGATTCGATTTTTCTTTCAGATAGATTCATTTTTAATTTTAATAGGCTCTGTCAATGTACCTGGGTTGTGCACCAGGTTAGTAGTTGATTGTTATACTATTGATAACAGATAAGATTTAACTATTTATTTTCTTGTTTATTCTAGCTGGTCCTGCCGGTATGACTCTTTTTTATTGGAAAAAGGTTTTGCATCTTTATTCGAATGTAACTTGTAGGTACGGGCAAAACTGAATCCGTAAAGGATTTAGCCAAAGCACTTGGTATTCTCTGTGTGGTAACCAATTGTGGTGAGGGTATGGACAGTTTGGTAAGTATCTAAATCGTTTTTGTTCGGTTAGGAAAGTGAAACTTATCTGTTTTATTTAAAGGCTATTGGTAAAAACTTGAATGGTCTATGTCAAAGTGGTGCTTGGGGTTGTTTTGATGAATTCAATCGAATTGATGCATCAGTCTTATCAGTCATTTCATCCCAATTGAAAACCATCCAACAAGGTTTAATTACCAAAGCAAAACGTTTTGTTTTTGAAGGAGTTGAAATTGATCTTGACTCGCGTGTTGGAGCATTTATTACAATGAATCCTGGTTATGCTGGTCGAACAGAATTACCTGAATCTATCAAAGCTCTGTTTCGACCAGTCGTCGTCATCGTACCAGATCTACAACAAATCTGTGAAATTATGCTTTTCTCCGAAGGATTTTCTTTAGCCAAAGTTTGTTGATGACGAAAAAAAGATTCGGTAAAGTTTAAACGTTCTTCTATTTAGATGTTGGCAAAGAAAATGGTCGTCCTATATAAACTATCTCGTGAACAATTATCGAAACAATACCATTATGATTTTGGTCTTCGTGCCTTGAAATCAGTTTTGGTCATGGCCGGTGAATTGAAACGAAATTCAGCTGAGCTACCAGAAGTAAACCGCTGATCTCTTCCGAAATAGATCTTGTCAATTTTCCCTTTTTCACACAATCATAGGACATTGTCTTAATGCGTGCCTTACGTGATATGAACATGCCGAAGTTTGTCTACGAAGATGTACCACTATTTCAAGGTTTAATCACTGATCTATTCCCTGGCTTGAAATGCGATCGTGTTACTTATCCATTATTCGACAAAGCCGTACGAGAATCAATCGCTCATATGCACAACGTTGTCGATGAAGTACAAGTTGATAAAGTTGTACAGTTATACGAAACAATGATGACACGTCATTCGACTATGGTTGTCGGACCGACAGGTGGTGGAAAAAGTACGGTTATCAACACTCTAGTTCAAGCACAGACAAGGTAGTAGAGAAAGAAGTTTTGTTGAATGATGGAAATAAAATTTGAGTGTTCTAGAATGGGTTTACCGACGAAAGTATATACATTGAATCCCAAAGCGTGTTCGGTTATTGAATTGTATGGATTTTTGGATTTGGCATCTCGGGATTGGACTGATGGCTTACTATCGAATATTTTCCGTGAAATAAATAAAGCAACCGATAAGAAAGAGCGTCGATATATTTTATACGATGGTGATGTCGATGCCCTTTGGATTGAAAACATGGTTTGTTCGAAAAGAATCAAACGCACATTCATTGATCGAGTATTTGTTTTTAGAACTCAGTCATGGATGATAACAAACTGTTGACATTAGCTAATGGCGAACGTATCCGTTTACAACCACATTGTGCGATGATGTTCGAAGTTGGAGATCTACAATATGCAAGTCCGGCTACAGTTTCACGTTGTGGCATGGTTAGTAGATTGTAAATTGACTTCTGTTATTGGTTAGTTTTGCAATTTGAAAATAGGTTTTCGTTGATCCAAAAGATTTGAAATACCGACCATTCTGGACACGTTGGTGCAACCTACGTGAGAAAAAAGAAGAACAAAAACTACTCAATGAATTATTTGATAAATTCGTTCCACCGTTGATTACATTAATCTTAGAAGGTGTTATCGATGGTAAACAAGGAGAAAAACTCAAACAAATTATTCCATTAACAAATCTCAATATGGTATATTGATCAAATGAATTTTTTTCTCCGAAAATATAATTTTTTTTCTTTTTGTATAGACAAGTCAATTATGTTACATGCTTGACAGTCTTCTTCAACCTTATGAAAATACGAGCGAAGCGCTTGATGCCAATATGTACACATGCTTCTTTCTTCAAGCACTGTATTGGTCATTAGGTGCTGGTCTAACCGAACAAGCACGTGTCATTTTTGATACCCAAGTTAAATATCTCGCGTCAATCAATATCGTTGACGAAGGTCCGAACGGCACTGCTAAGATGGGTAAGAGTATTTCATGAGAGATTTATTGATTATTTGAAATATTTTAGATGAATTGCCATCACATGAACAAACATTGTTTGAATATTTCTTTGATGCAACAAAAGGATATTGGATATCATGGAAACGACTCGTACCGAAGTATCAACATAATCCCGAGAAAAAGTTCTATGAGATTTTAGTTCCAACTATCGATACATGTCGAAGTGATTGGCTACTACAACTATGTTATCGTATCAAACGACCAGTTCTATTCGTTGGTGAATCGGGTACTTCTAAAACTGCAACTATCACATCATTCTTACGAAAATTGAATGCAGATTTGAATGTAATGTTAAAAACAAACAATCTTCTTGTAATTTCATCGGAAAATTCTTTTCTTTTAGCTGTTGTTGAACATCAACTTCTCATCGCGAACATCGTCGATGGATGTCCAAAGAAATTTCGAATCAAATGTTGAAAAACGTACAAAGGATACTTTTGGACCGCCGCCTGGAAAGAAACTAGTCGTCTTTATTGACGATCTCAACATGCCGAAAGTCGATACGTATGGCACGCAACAGCCAATCGCTTTGCTGAAACTATTACTTGAAAAAGGTGGTATGTACGATCGCGGAAAGGATCTGAACTGGAAAAAATATCAAGATATGATCTTTATTGCTGCTATGGGAAAAGTGAGTCAGATTATCAGGTCATTTCTCTTTTGATATATATATTGTCGTGTGCGATATAGCCTGGTGGTGGAAGAAATGATGTTGATCCACGATTTATTTCACTGTTCAATGTATACAACATCACATTTCCATCTGAAGAATCATTATTTTCAATCTATAACTCGATTCTCGAAGGACATTTACAACCATTCAATAAGGAGGTACAAGATATAGCTCCAATATTGACTCGAATGACGATGGAACTTTATCAGTAAGTAATTCTCTTCACGAAAAGTAAACGTCTATTTTGACTGTTCGATTTTAAAGTGCCATTTTGGATGCACTTCCACCTACTCCATCGAAATTTCATTATATTTTCAATCTTCGAGACTTGAGTCGAATATTCAATGGTTTAGTACTTACAACACCTGATCGATTTCCAACAGCTGCTCTCCTGGCACGTGTTTGGCGCAATGAATGCTTACGTGTACTCTACGATCGTTTAATTGATGTCCAAGATCGAAAATTTATTGACGTATGTCACAAAAATAAATACATTCGAAATAATATTTATATTTTCACTTTCTGAAGGATAAATTACAAAGTCTTGTCGACGATCAGTCATTATTGAAACCGCATAGTGAACTTATCTTTCGTCAACCATCTCTATTTGGTGACTATCGAACCGCACTCGATATTGGTGAAGCACAAATCTACGAAGATATCGTTGATTACGAAGCAGCTAAAGCAATATTTGAAGAAGTATGAAAATTGAACAATATATATTTGAAGTGACTTACTACTCATGTTATTCTATCTAGATTCTAGCAGAATATAACGAACAATTCACTCGAATGAATCTCGTTTTGTTTGAAGATGCTCTTGAACATTTAACTCGCATCTATCGTGTCATTCGTATGGACAAAGGCAATGCATTGTTAGTCGGTGTTGGTGGTAGTGGAAAAGCTTCATGTAAGATTTCAATTCATTGATCATCTCGTTAAAATCGTCTCGTTTTTCTTTATTTGCCAATAGTGACACGTCTGGCAGCATATGCAGCGCATTGTGAAGTCTTCGAAATCAAACTTAGTCGTGGTTATAGTGAATCACATTTCCGTGAAGATTTGAAAGTTCTCTACAATAAACTTGGCACGGAAAATAAGAAAGTAGTTTTCATGTTTGGTGATCAACATGTTGCGGAAGAAGGTGAAGTTCTATCTAAGAAATCTTTCTTCACATTCATTTCATTTTGTCGTATAGGCTTTTTGGAATTAATCAATAATATGTTAACAACCGGTATGGTACCTGCCCTCTATGCTGATGAAGAACGTGAAGGAATCATTTCGAATGTAAGAGAAGACGCTTTTCTTTCAACAACAGGTAATCATCTCATTTCAGATACGAGACGAAGCTATGAAAAACGGTGCCAGCCCAGCAAAAGAAAGCATTTGGCAATATTTTGTCACCAAATGCTCCGTTAATTTACATGTGGTTCTATGCATGTCACCTACAGGTGATACTTTACGAACACGCTGTCGAAACTTTCCAGGTAAAAACTCTATAAAACCGATCTTAATCAACAATATTCATGATCGGTATCACAGGTTTGATTAACAACGCGATTATCGACTGGTTCTTACCTTGGCCTGAACAAGCTTTGTATGCCGTATCAACAACACTGATTTCAGAAGATGTAAGTAATTTCTCTCACAAGGAATCGATCAGAAATGGTCCTTTTCTTTTTCAACCTATTTCACATTTTAATCTATACATATAGTTTATATTTCCGTCTGTGCGGAAAGCTTTTGTAAGTAAACTAGCTGATCTATTTATATATACATCTCGCTCTATCAAATTATACCTTTTATGATTCTCATCAGGAAAATCTTCGTCAAATGTTTGCATTATTAATTTTCTTTTTCTTTCTTCTATTAGAACGAATTTATTCCGAAAGAATTCCGTCAGGCTATTGTTACGCATATGGTTATGGTTCATCAATCCGTTGAACATTATAGTGAACAGTTTGCGAAAAAACTTCGTCGACATAATTTCACTACGCCGAAGAACTATTTGGATTTCATTTCAACGTATCTCAGATTACTTGAGCGAAAGAATAAAGAGAATCTAGCACAGGTTTGTGAACAGAGAATTTGCAACGGGTGTTGTTTGAACGAATTTGTTTGATATATTTTAGCAACAACGTCTCGCTGGTGGTTTGGAGAAGATTGATGAAGCTCAGATTGAATTAAAAGAACTTGATGCTCGTTTACAAGTGCAACGAAAAGAAGTGTTGAAACGTTCGGAAGAATGTCAGAAATTACTCTCGGAAATCGCAGAGAAGACCGCATCAGCTCGTGAAATGGAAGGTGAAGCAATTGAGAAGAAGAAATCATTGGATGTGAAACAGGCAGAAATCGCTGTGAAAAAGGTTTGGAAGCTTTTCTTTGTATTGAACATCAACGAATATCTTGTTTTGACAGGGTGAAGCTGATGTTGAGTTAGCTGCAGCTTTACCAGCTTTAGAAGAAGCAAGAAAAGCAGTTCGAGAAATTACAAACAATCAAGTAGCTGAAATTCGGTAAAATCGACGATGATTCTTTAGTTTCGAACTTGTTCACCTTTTCAGAGGTTTTAAACAACCTGCTGTTGCTGTCGCTACGGTTTGTCGTTCCGTACTTGCAATCTTACGTCCATCAGCTGCTGATACCTGGGCAGAATGTCAAGCCATGATGGCTGGTAAGAATCTTACGATTAACTAAATGTTTCTTCTAAGTTTTCTTTTCTCTTTCAAAGATGTTGGTTTTCTCAAGACATTAATGGAAGTTCCTATTGAAAAATTATCGCAATCAACTGAACGAAAACTACGCACTATTCTAGAAATCTTGGAAGAAAGCTTGTTGAAAGATGTCAATAATGTTGTACCAGATCCAGCAAAGAAAAACGAATACTTGATTCAATTGATGGGTAAGAAATCTCTCGCTGGTGCTGGCATGTACAAATACTCTCAGAACGTCTTGAATTGCGTTCGAGTATATCGTGTTGTCAAACCTAAACAAGATTTGGTCATGGTAGGTCAACAATTTCATCTGTTTGTACATTCTCATCGTTTTATTTATTTAATAGCGATTACAAGCCGAAGCTAAACGTGCATCGGATGAATTGACAGCCACGCAAAATCAAATTAGTGATTTACAGAAAACATTATCAGATCTAAATAAAACATATGAGGAAGCTATGGAGAAGAAACGAGTTATCGAAGAAGAAACAGCGATTATGGAACGACGAAAGATCGGTATGATCAAATGTTTCCGTTCATCCTCCTCAGACTATCTTTTCATATTTCTTTTACAGCTGCGGATAAACTTATTTCGGGTCTGTCATCCGAAAAACAACGGTAAAACCTTCCGAATTCGAGAATTTCTCATAACTAACTTCTTTCTCTTTAGTTGGAATAATGATCTAGAGGAATTAAAACGTAAACTACGTCGACTACTTGGTGACACACTAATCTGCGCTTCGTTTCTTGCTTATGTCGGTGCATTCACATTCGAATTCCGTAAAGAACTAATCTGCGAACTATGGGAAAAAGATCTTCTAGAGAAAGAAGTGCCTCTCTCTCAGCCATTACGTTTAGATGAATTGTTAACAAGTGATGTCGAAATCTCGAAATGGTCAAGTGAAGGTTTACCGCCTGATGAATTATCCGTTCAGAATGGTATCTTAACAACTCAATCGAGCCGTTTTCCGTACTGTATCGATCCTCAGCAACAAGCTTTGAAATGGATTAAAAAACGTGAAGAGAAAAATAACTTGAAAATCTTAACTTTTCATGATAGTGACTTCCTAAAACATTTGGAAATGTCTATTAAATACGGTTTTCCAATCTTATTTCAAGATTGCGATGAATATATCGATCCAGTTATTGACAATGTCCTCGAAAAGAACATTCGAGGTACTGAAGGACGACAATTCGTCGTCTTAGGTGATAAAGAAGTGGACTATGATCCATCATTTCGTCTTTACTTAACATCAAAGTTACCAAATCCACGTTTAACACCTGCACATTTCGGTAAATCGATGGTTATCAACTATACAGTTACATTGAAAGGTCTCGAAGATCAGTTATTAGCTGTTATTGTGAAAAATGAACGACGAGAATTAGAAGAGCAGCGTGAACGTCTCATACAAGAAATGTCGGTTAATAAGAAGTTATTGAAGGATCTCGAAGATGCACTTCTACGTGAATTAGCAAACTCAACTGGTAACATGTTAGATAACACTGAACTGATTTCAACGTTAGACGAAACCAAATCGAAAGCTGATGAAGTCAATGAAAAGTAAGTTATTTTCTTGAAAGTATCAAATAGACCAGTAATTGGATTTCATAGACTTCGTCTGGCTTTGAAAACATCCAAAGATATCGAACGACTTCGTGATGGTTATCGTCCAGCTGCTAAACGTGGTGCCATTCTCTTCTTTGTTCTTTCGGAAATGTCATTGATCAATACAATGTACCAATATTCATTAACGGGTTATCTCGAAGTATTCGAATTCTCTCTGCGAAAATCCATTCCCGATTCGAATCTCGAACGTCGATTGAATAACATTATGGGTACATTAACACTGAATGTTTACAATTATGGTTGTACGGGTATATTTGAAAAACATAAACTTCTATTTTCGTTCAATATTACAACTAAACTCGAACAAGATCGAGGAAATGTCGCACAAGATGAATTGGACTTCTTCATCAAAGGAAATCTATCATTGGAGAAATCGAAACGGAAGAAACCATTCGCATGGATACAAGATCAAACCTGGGAAGATTGTGTGCGCCTAGCACGAGACTTTTCTCAATTTACAACTTTACTTGATGATGTCGAAAACCATGAACATGACTGGAAAAAAGTTTGTATCGTTTTCTTCTGTTGATTAAACGAAAATCGTCTTCTTTCTCTCTAGTGGTACGATAGTGATACACCGGAACAAGAGGAACATTTTCCGATGAATTATAGCGAACGTTTAACTCCTTTCCAAAATCTCATGATGTTGCGATGTTTTCGAGTTGACCGAATCTATTTAGCCGTAACACAATACGTAACGAAAGTGATGGGCGATCAATTTGTCACACCACCAGTCATTCATTTCGAAGCCATTTGGGAACAAAGTACACCAGTGTCACCGATTATCTTCATTCTAAGTCCTGGTAGCGATCCAACAACAGATCTATTGAAATTAGCTGAACGCACCGAATTTGGTGTAGCCAAAGTCAAATTGTTAGCTATGGGTCAAGGACAAGAAAAGGTAAAACGATCCTTAGAATCAGTCATTTCGCATTTTCTCTTCGAAATCTAGATTGCTATTAATCTAATGGAACAAGCCATCAGTCGTGGCCATTGGCTAATGTTACAAAATTGTCATTTATTAGTTAAATGGCTTATTGAACTTGAAAAACATTTAGATAAAATGTCGAAACCACATCCTGATTTTCGTTTATGGTTAACAACTGAACCAACACCATTGTTTCCGATCGGTATTTTGCAACGTTCATTGAAAGTCGTTACTGAGCCACCGAATGGTTTAAAACTTAATCTACGTAACACGTATTTCAAAATTTCCGGACAAGCATTCCATGATTGTCCACACGAAGCATTCCCGTCGTTGGTATTTGTTTTGGCATTCTTCCATGCTGTCGTACAAGAACGTCGAAAATACGATAAAATTGGTTGGAACGTTTCGTATGATTTCAATGAATCAGATTTTCGTGTCTGTATGACAATTCTCGACACATATCTGAAGAAATCAATTGCCAATAATGATCCAAAAATTCCGTGGGGTTCATTGAAATATCTTATTGGTGAAGTGAGTCTAGTCATTTCGTTTTAGCTCTTTTTCTATCTTTGTTCTCATTCGAAAGGTTATGTACGGTGGTCGTGCTATTGACGAGTTCGATCGTCGTGTTTTGCGAACATATATGAATGAATACATGGGAGATTTCATATTCGATACGTTTCAACCGTTCTATTTCCATCGTACAGAAGATGTGGCTTATTATATTCCATCAGCAAATGAAGAACATCCAGCAACTGTTGGATTACCAGTAAAAGATGCTGCATTAGGTAAAGTAAAAGTTGATGCTTTTCTTCTCTTTTGACAACAGTTCCGTTAATGATGATCGAATCTGTTTAATGTAGACAAAGGTTGTCTTCTTTGCAGAAATATGTTCATATCTTATTCATTGACTTGAACACTTTGTTTTTATTAAACAGGAAAATTACGTAGAATATCAAGAAGTAAAAGTCTTCTGTTGTATTCCCATATTTTATCTCTATTTATTGTCATACACCTATCATTTATCATTCTAAACTATAAATATTCTTTTTCATTCCGTTTGACATGTCTTAACGTCCTTCCTTTTCTACAGAATACATTGAATCGTTGCCACTGACGAATACTCCGGAAGTGTTCGGTTTACATCCCAATGCTGAAATTGGATATTACACAAAATCTGCCCGAGATATGTGGGAACAATTAATCGAATTACAACCTCAATCAGGTCAGTTCTTTTCTCTTTTTCAATCACATCAACATTACGTTCTCGTCTCGTTTTAGCCGAAGCCAGTGGTGGTATGAGTCGTGATGAGTACATTGATAACACAGCAGCCGATATCATAAAACGTATTCCACAACAGTACGATGTTGACAAAGTCTGGAAGAAGTTCGGTGGTGAAGCAATCTCACCAACATCCGTCGTACTCTTACAAGAACTCGATCGCTTCAATCGCTTGACTCTGACGATGTCGAAATCGTTAGCAACGTTACGGCGAGCATTGAAAGGTGAAGTTGGTATGTCCAATGAATTGGACGATCTCTCTCGAGCACTCTACAATGGTCAATTACCACCCATGTGGAGACGTCTAGCACCAGCAACAAAGAAAAATCTTGCAAATTGGATGGATCATTTTCTTCGTCGAAATCAACTCTATAGTGGATGGGTAACTAATCAACATTTTCGTTTTCTTTTCAAAAGATTTTCATTCGTCGTTTAGATCAACGATGGCGAACCCAATGTCGTCTGGTTATCTGGCTTTTCAATTCCTGAATCTTATTTAACTGCGCTTGTACAAGCAACATGTCGAAAGAACGGTTGGCCATTAGATAAATCAACATTATACACTCAAGTCACCGAATGGGAAACACCAGAAGATGTCAATGAACGTGCACATCAAGGTTGCTTTGTCACTGGTCTTTATCTCGAAGGTGCATCATGGGATGTGGAAAAACGTTGTTTGACACGACAGAAACCGAAAGTACTCATTCAACCATTGCCAGTTATGAAAGTTATTCCAATTGAATCGCATAAACTTAAACTACAAGTAAGGACTATCCAGAGAGAAAAAAATATGTTTTACTTTGACTATTTAGAATACATTCCGATGTCCAGTATATGTTACAAGTGACCGACGAAATGCCATGGGCGTTGGTCTTGTTTTTGAAGCTGATTTATCGACACACGAACACATTAGCAAATGGGTTCTACAAGGTGTTGCTTTGATTCTCAATACAGATTAAATCGTTTTACTTTTTATGTATAGTTTTCGTTTTTTCTTGTTTGATAACGTCGTATGTATTTTTTTATATTAATAAATACTGTTGTTGCACTCCTTGACAAATGAAATTACGACAATTTACGAGTTATGATATTTCTCGCTGATCTACCTTCATATCATTTCTATGTTGACATAACGTCCGTTAGATACATCACTTCTTTTTGATAGAGTACCATCTGTTCACGATGTTTTACATTCTGCTCTCACTTATTTCCGCTTAGTAGGCAAACAGTCAATGATCTATTATATTTTCATGTGAAACGGTAAAACTTTTCTTTTCAATTAATTTTAAAATTTTGCGATAGAAATAAATTGATTCATCGTCTTAATCGGTAATCAGCAAGTTTAGACGTGATTTTTTCCTTTGAGCGTTCTAATCCATCCTCTGATCTTTCTCACGGTGTTCTCATTGGCATCGTCGAATTCCTCATTTTCTCATACACTGTCTACTCAGATCACACTTGACCCATACAATGCTGATGTTCTATTATTATCACAATAGGAAATATGTCGTAGATAAATATCTATTTGTTTTCTCTCTCATGTCGAACATATTTCGACACACTTGAAAAAGAAACTATTTCAATTGTTTTAAATAAGAAAGTTTGTAAAACAATCACGTGAAGTGTCTGGAAATATGATGCTGATTTCAATTCTCTTTAACACTTCGATAAATCCATCAAAGGAAAATCAAATTACTTCATGATGAACTTCACTTTTTTTTTTCGTTGCTATCAATCATCAAATTCGTTTGTGTGTGAACAATCTACTTCTTACGGAGATTTGCTCTCTTTTTTTGTCAACTAATTAGGTGTCAACTTGTTTGATAGATTCACGCCTTCTTTTTCTTCTCTTCTTATTCAACCGACTCGGCATCATGATGACTTCAAACAAAAAAAGAATGACTGAATATGAGAACCTATTTAGTATCAGTGATAATCACTGATGGCGGCAATCGACGAATCAATTGCGTCATTTCTCGATGTGTTAGACAGAACGGCGCACTTGCAGACGAAGACATTTGAAATTAGAAACAACAAACGATTATTATATAGGTAGATGTTAAAGTTTCGTTTGATTTGAGATATGATCAACGAAGTAGACATGATTTGAGACTAGAAGAATGTCGACGAACGAGCGATAAGCATCAATACAACGTTGATTCGTCAATTGTCT